CCATGTTACTCTTAATGAGAAGCTTTTATAGCCACACAAATGTTATGACATTTTTAAAACTACAAACTTCAAACGTCTTAAACCCACACAAATGTTATGGCATGTTTGAGACCACAAGTTTCAAGAAATTTCTTTTCTTTCTATGTGCCGAGTCAAACTATGTTACATAAATTGTAGCAGTGGGGGTATTAACACTATGATATTTTTCTTATCACAATTAATTTTATTTTCATTTACTTTAGTAAGGGACTTTCTTTTGGTAATAATACTTTTTGAAAAAAGCAACATTGTGACTTATCGATTACAAAAATATAAAGAAAAAAGAAAGAAAAGAGAAAGCTCTCTTCTCTTCATCATGATGCAAGGATTTATTTAAGCATCTTGTGAAACGGCGTAATAGTAATTTAAGATGGACAAAGATATGCTTATGTTGATATCATTTGAACTAGTTTAACAACACACTATGGGAGGGTACAGTGATTACGGACTTACTGTTAAGTTACACGGTCTTATCTATGTAGGACATGCAAATGACAACCAAATGTGAAATAAATAAGATTTTTATACCAATACCAATATTATTTGTTTAGTACCTTAAACCAAGCAATCCCTTAATGATAGCACTACTTCAAGTTCATTCTTATATATCTTATACATACGGGATATCTCATGTGTTGGCAGGAACAATATGGCAATGGAAGTTACTCAGCTCCTTCTAAATGCACAATCAGTTGATTCAACAGCGCGAAAACATGCAGAAGAAACATTGAAGCAGTTTCAGGAGCAAAATCTTCCTGGTTTTCTGTTGTCTCTGTCTGGAGAGCTGGCTAGTGAGGATAAGCCAGTTGATAGTCGCAAGTTGGCAGGTTTAATATTGAAAAATGCTTTGGATGCCAAGGAACAACACAGGAAATATGAACTTGTCCAAAGATGGCTATCACTTGATGTGACTGTGAAGACCCAAATTAAAGCATGCTTGTTACAGACCCTCTCTTCTCCTGCACCTGATGCTCGTTCAACTGCTTCACAAGTCATTGCCAAGGTTGCTGGCATTGAGCTGCCTCAGAAGCAGTGGCCTGAGCTGATCGGGTCACTCTTGTCAAATCAACAGCTCCCTGCTCATGTCAGGCAAGCTACTTTGGAGACACTAGGGTATTTATGTGAAGAAGTTTCTCCTGATGTTCTGGAGCAGGATCAAGTGAATAATATCCTTACAGCTGTAGTTCAGGGTATGAATGCTGAAGAAGGGAACAACGATGTGAGGCTTGCTGCTACCCGAGCACTATATAATGCACTTGGTTTTGCTCAGGCAAATTTCAACAATGATATGGAGCGCGACTTTATTATGAGAGTTGTCTGTCAGGCCACTCTGTCTCCTGAAGTCAAAATTCGGCAGGCTGCTTTTGAATGTTTAGTCTCGATTTCATCTACTTACTATGAGAAATTAGCTCCTTATATTCAAGACATCTTTAGCATTACAGCAAAAGCTGTTAGAGAGGATGAAGAGCCTGTTGCTCTTCAAGCCATTGAATTCTGGAGCTCGATCTGTGACGAGGAGATTGATATTTTAGAAGATTATGGGGGTGAGTTTACTGCAGATTCTGATGTTCCTTGCTATAATTTCATCAAGCAGGCTCTCCCTGCACTTGTCCCTATGCTATTGGAGACACTTCTTAAGCAAGAAGAAGATCAGGATCAGGATGAAGGTGCTTGGAATCTTGCAATGGCCGGAGGCACTTGCCTTGGTCTGGTCTCAAGGACTGTAGGAGATGACATTGTCCCTCTTGTTATGCCATTCATCGAGGAGAATATTACAAAGCCTGACTGGAGGCAAAGAGAGGCTGCCACTTATGCCTTTGGCTCCATTTTGGAAGGTCCTTCACCTGATAAGCTAATTCCCATTGTTAATGTTGCTCTAAGTTTCATGCTTACTGCATTGACTAAGGATCCCAATAGCCATGTGAAGGACACTACAGCATGGACCCTTGGAAGAATATTTGAATTTCTTCATGGCTCAACAGTGGAGATACCCATTATTACTCCAGCAAGCTGTCAACAGATCATTACAGTTCTACTTCAGAGCATGAAGGATGCTCCAAATGTTGCTGAAAAAGCATGTGGTGCTCTCTATTTTCTTTCCCAAGGGTATGGGGATGTGGGTGCATCATCTCCCTTGACACCTTTTTTCCAGGAGATCGTGCAATCCCTTCTCACAGTGACGCACAGAGAAGATGCTGGTGAGTCACGACTTAGGACTGCTGCATATGAGGTACTGAATGAAGTTGTGAGGTGTTCAACAGATGAAACAGCTCCCATGGTTTTGCAACTAGTTCCTGTCATTATGATGGAGCTCCACCAGAGTCTTGAGGCTCAGAAGCTCTCATCTGATGAAAGAGAAAAGCGGAGTGAGTTGCAAGGTCTTTTGTGTGGATGCTTACAGGTTATTATCCAGAAGTTGGGAGCATCAGAGCCGACAAAGTATGTTTTCTTGCAGTATGCTGATCAGATCATGAGCCTTTTCCTCAAGGTCTTTGCATGTAGAAGTGCTACTGTGCATGAGGAAGCCATGCTTGCCATTGGAGCACTTGCCTATGCAACTGGTGCTGACTTTGCCAAGTACATGCCTGAATTTTACAAGTACCTGGAAATGGGTCTTCAGAATTTCGAGGAGTACCAAGTCTGTGCGGTCACAATTGGTGTTGTGGGTGATGTATGCAGAGCATTGGAGGATAGGATATTACCTTATTGTGATGGTATAATGACACAGCTTCTCAAGGACCTATCAAGTAACCAGCTACACCGTTCTGTAAAGCCACCAATATTTTCGTGCTTTGGTGACATAGCCTTGGCGATAGGGGAGAATTTTGAGAAGTACTTGATGTATTCAATGCCTATGCTCCAGAGTGCTGCAGAGCTGTCAGCCCACACATCTGGTGCTGATGATGAGATGATAGAATACACGAATCTTCTAAGAAATGGAATCTTGGAGGCTTATTCCGCTATATTTCAGGGCTTCAAGAATTCACCTAAAACCCAACTGTTGATTCCCTATGCACCTCATATCCTTCAATTCCTGGATAGTATTTACATGGAGAAAGACATGTAAGTATTGCTTGATCGCTTCTACTTTTCTCTTTTCCTCTATCTATGAAGGTCATTGATGTTCTGATTTCCTGGATTTACCCCCTTTCTTCTCCTGAATTTCAGGGATGATGTGGTAATGAAGACTGCTATTGGAGTTCTGGGAGATCTAGCGGATACTCTGGGCAGTAATGCTGGTTCTTTAATTCAACAATCAGTATCAAGCAAAGACTTTTTGAATGAATGCTTGTCGTCGGATGACCATTTGATTAAGGAATCTGCTGAGTGGGCCCAGATGGCGATTAGTCGTGCCATTTCAGTTTAAAGCTGTGGGTACTTGATACATACTTTTTCTTTTTTTCATGTCCCTGCATGCATGTAGTTGTGTCGAGTTGAGATCCGATATTGCATTCATGTGTCAAGTCATTGCAATTTTCTGACAATGGAAGAAATTTGCATTCAAGTTGTCAGACACGTGCCAGCACCGTCGGCGGGGTTATTTTGTTTTGCGATGGGGTGGGTCATGGTGATTGCTCGGGAGTTGATGGCCTTCCATTTAGACTGAATGTGATGTTACTGATTCTGTATATTGGGGTTGGGAGGGAATATTCCTGTAATTTACTGAAGAAACAAGGTTCCTGGCTCATCTCTTTTCTTGTGGGTCTGACCTGGTGCTCTAACAAGAAATGCGGAGGTCCTGGTGTTCCTATCTTCCTCAAGGGTCAGCATGTACAAGTCCCAAGTTTTGGTAGTCTTGATACTCAGCCCTAGATTCTTTTCTATTTTCTTATATATATATTTTGAGTTGGTCGGTCCGTGTCTTTGTCGGAATCAGCTGCATCTGTTTTATAGTCGAATTACATAGCATCTCATTCATTTCTTTTGCATATACTTATGGTGGCTTTAGCTCATTATTTAGAGGCATTCCATCAGACTTCTTTCATATTTTACGTCTCTTACAGCATTTTTCATTTATTAAAAGTCAGTATTAGAAATATCTTGCACACATGATAGCATGTATTCTTTCCTTTTTCCACTGTTAAAGTACAGGTTTTTTCTAACCTTTTAAAAAGACTGCTCTTTTGATTGTGAAAGTGTATTCATTGTCTTTGAAGAGTATGATATTGAAATGTCACCAACTTCAATGACATTACAGGGAATTGGGAGTCACTTGTTTTTTCAAGTGCCTTTTTTTGGTATCAGGATCATTTTCCAGGTTTTAGGTGCTACATTTCTACACAAATGCATGTATGTTCTTTTGTTATTGATGCTGCATTGGGGTTTAGCCGAGTGATTTTATGGTGTGCCTTATACAATTGATATTAGTTGTGTGAGACCTCTTTTTATCTCACACATTTGTGGACCCAAATCTAACACATTTGGGTCCACAAAATTTTGGGACCACAAAGTTGTGAGACAAAAAAGAGGCCTTACATAACTAGCGTCAGTTGTATGAGGCACAAAATAAAATATTTCGGATTTAGCCTATATTGTAAACAGTGCGCTAACATTGTAGAAGGTCAAAGACCAATTTCTCTTGGCAAATCTTATAATTTTATTTGTAGTAAAACATAAAAAAAAATTAATAAGCTAATCTTTTATTTATTTTTTATATAGGAGGAAAAAGGCACCAAAAAAAGAAAGAAAGAAGAATTCTGTTACCAAATCCAAGTTAAGACAATAGGCTAAGCTGATATTGAAAAAGCTGAAGCTAGAAAAGTGGAGCAAAGCCTGCTCATCCATAAAATTAGAGAGTAGAACTGTTGGCAACCCGAAAATAGGCAAACGCCGGAGTAGAATGTTTTTTTATACAAACACACATTGAATCGACCCTACAAGGATTAGCAAATGGTTAGAGCTTCATGAACATGGAGTGTGTTTAATAATAGTCGAGTACTAACAAAATTTCTTAGACTATATACTCAATAGTTCAAAGTTGTTAATTAATCATTATGTTGTTGCACATTGTGTCATCCGAGAAAATCAAACAAAGTTGCTGCAGTGCTAGATTATGATTACGCAGGACCTAACACCAGGCATGATCCAAGAAGAAAGAAAGGCAACCATAAAGTGATTACACCAATAGTGCAGTTGTTGTCGCTGAAATGATCCGTAGAGTGCATCCGCCAAGATTTTGATTGATCTCTTAACCAGTCAGTTTACAGAGCTGCTGCATTCTCAAACCTCTAGTCCTATAGTTGGAAAATCTATGTTCTTTCCTAGTTCATATATATATATATATCCAACTGCTGCAGAATTTGAACTGCCTAAGGGGATAGCACCCCATATTCTAAGTGAATGTGAATAAACCTCGTCTGCCTGGTCAAAAGTTTTGTTCATCCATAGCCTGTTTACAGGTCAAAACCAATAGTTAACCTCAACCGTATCAGAAAAGGTATACATAATAGCAAAATGGAGACCACAAACTAATAGTAAATAAAGCTTACAAAAAGGCTGAGGACCACAGGATTTTATGCACTAAGTTGAGTCAAATGAAATTTTTTTAGAACTAAGGATTGTAGGGCTTAACCCCGAAGGGAGCCCTTCCAAAAATTCTCAACGGCCAGGGGCGAACCCAGGCCGAAGAGGGGGTTTGGAAATAGTTTTCAACCAGCAATAGACGCGCCTCGGTTAGAACCTCACTAGCTGCGTCATTGCCCCAAGCGCAAAGATGTTTTGAATCGTTGCCCAGCTTCTGGTTTTATAAGACTCATGTCTCTCTTCTGCCTCTTCTATTACCGATGTGGGACAAACTGGCTCACACCTCTTTCTTATTTCCTTATCTTCTATTCTATTCGCTAATTTTGAAACAACAAATACCACCGCCTAAATAATTCTTAATTTTCTCGATTTCTCTTTCCCTCGCAATAACATTTTCCTCCTATCAATTTATTTCGCTTGCTTGAAATTTACATATTTTGAAGCTTAATAGACAAGAATTTGAATGGGGATTTTTAACTTTCACCAAAATATATAAAGAATAACATTGCAGCTGAAATGTGAAAATAGTATAAATTTTTGTTAAATTCAAAGTACTATTAGTATATCTGAATTTTAACATTAATTAAATTTTGTTATTCGGGAAAATGATTCATTCTTTGTTGAGTGGATTGAAATATAAATGAAATCAAATGAAATGGAATAAAAAAGATCAGTATTATTAGATTGGAAAAATATAAAGTATATCGGATCAATTTTGTTTTCCTTCTATTATATTTCAATAAAACTAAGTCACTGTTAATCAGGGAGAATGTTGCTCTTCTTGCTATTTGTTTAACCCAAAAAATAATTTTCAAGGTCAAAGCAATTAATTTTATATGACCGGCCACAAGCAACCAATTCGATCCAAAAGATGTAAATTTTGTTAATGCAATGTGATAGAGAAGTGAAAAAAATATTCAACGGCAAATAATATAATAAAAATAAAATAAAGAAGAAATAAGTTTTATTGGATGATCCTTGATAGTATGATGAGCCGAACAGAGCTTGAGGAGCCGAATTATGACAAACTTGGGAGCAAGTTGCTATGAATTACAATGTATAGAATTATAGAGAAGAAAATTAGATGATGACAATGGTGATAAAGTATGTTTATTATAGGGCTAAATCTAAGTAATCATTCTCCTTTAATTATGGGTCCATTATGAGCATTTGCATAATCCAACTGTTACTATTTGGAGGACTTGTAACAGTTGAGTAAATGTTGGAATTCCATAACTGATGAGTTAATTCCGTAAATGATGAGTTAATTCCGTAACTGATGAGTTAATTCTATAACTGATAAGTCAGTCTTTTGAGTCAATCTCGTGTGTGTTGAGTCAATTCCGTACCTGTTGAGTCTATTTCGTAATTGGTTGCCTTTGTTCTGACCGTTACAACTATTTATTGCATTTATTGTGCATTACATAATTGATTTGTAACTGATAGTATAATGATGGTAAAATTTATGTAATCCGGGATTAATTGATTCTTTCTTTATTGTAATTACGAGCTATTCTCATGTGCCTGATCTGAGACTATTTTATGATGATCAATTCCGAGACTAACATGCATGATACGAGTATATTCAGTCCCGAGGGTGTTTCACATATTATCTTTACATGTCATTCTTCACTTTTTTTTCATAACTTTGCTTACATGTGTCGATATTTAATATACCCACGTAGCGAGTCTATTTTTCATTAATACAGATAGTCCCCCCATTTTCTGATTACTCATTATGATGTAACCGAGAAGTGAAAGATTTTGTCTTTTTCACCCTTGCCTCTGCCTCATTAAAAATCTTACCGAAAAAATTCAATAGGGACAAAAGTTGGGCGAAGGAAAAAAGTGCAGAACTTAGGAATTCAGGTGATAATTATTTTCCTTTCGTCAATAATCGGTTGGTGCTGAAAAAGTACCACTACTACAGAAAGCTTGATCTCGGGTTTTTAATGTTCATCTGGAACTTTTAATCTTTTAGTTTTGAGTTGTACCCAAAACTTTTATAACATCACAGCCTTAGAGAGCGGGACTATTAATAACCAGAAATTTTGTACTCTAGTTTTGATAAAGTCTAGGAATTTAATGCATCAGGTTAACTTTGCGATTAGGAAACAAAGCATTCGACCATTAGCCATTTGATTGGATAATTTTGGTATAATTGGACTCATAATTGAATGGGTGTTCGGAATTTGTGAATTTATCAGGTTCCGAGGTGCGGGTCTGAGGTTGACTTTTTTTATTTTGGTTAAAGATCTTAGCTTTATCATGTTGAACCAATTTCTATAGCTTTTATTGATAGTTTTACGTTATTTTGCCTAGATTTGAGCCTTCCAGAGGTTGATACACGTGGGAAGGATTTGTTAGGGGAGTAATTTGGCTTGCTTAGGTAAGTATCTTATCTAAACTTGGTTGAGGCACTAGATGCCTGAATTATTCGTGGTAGCTACGTGCTATAGGTGCGCACACGTGTGGGGTTTGAGCCTATGTGCTAACACCGGAGGTATTTATCCATGCTCGGGTTGTGCTTAGGCTATGATATGCCTAGAGTTTACTGCTAAGGCTTAAGCTATTATGCTTATCATATTTGTGACATTGTTGTGAACTATTTGGGCCATATTTGAGGATACATAGAGCTTTAATCCCTGAATGAACTTGATAAATGTTATTCTGTGATGAAATTACCGATTTGAGCTATGATAGCACATTTTGCACATGCCTACACTTTAGCATGTCATTTATACCAGTCCAGGAGCATAAAATTTGTTATTCATTCACCACATACATGTATTCTTGTTTACTTACTCCTGTATGATATGATTGGACTGAGTGCCTGTGACCACGCTGGGCGGATTGTGTTATTATGCATGTGGCCACGCCGAGCGGATTGTGTTGTTATGCCTATGACCACGCCGGCAGATTGTGTTGTTATGCCTGTGACCACGCCGGATGGATTGTGTTGTATTCCTATGATCACGCCGGGCAGATTGTGTTGTTATGCCTGTGACCACGCCGGATGGATTGTGTTGTATTCCTATGATCACGCCGGGCAGATTGTGTTGTTATGCCTATGACCACGTCGTGCGGATTGTACTGTTATACCTGTGACCACGCCGAGCAGATTATGATATTGAGCTTGTGACCATGTTGGGCTGGTAGCATGTTGAATTGGCCATGCTTGCGTGTGGATATTGATCCATCCCCTAGGGTCACCCTCTCATATTTCTCTCTTGATGGTGTACAACGGATATTGAGAAAAAACTGATCAATGGTTTGGTATAGAATTGGAAAGGTAGAGGAAATCTGGCCAGTGTTTGTTTGAATTTTGCATTTCATCTTTACTTACAATTTTCGTGATTATTTACCTGAATTAACTGCATATCATCTCTGTAAGCTGAAGATTGATTGAGAAGAGTATTTGAGAAACTGTATACATACACACATAGATGCTTCTTCCCGTACTTTATGACTTGATTTCATTATTGTTCTGTACTTGTTAAAATAATGAAACTATACAGGTTATAGCTAGCATTATTTATAATTTTGTGCTTCTTTTACCTTATCAAGGTTAGCTACGACACTTATTGAGTACAATGGATCGATTGTACTCATACTACACTCTGTATTTTGTGTACAAATTCAGGTACATCTGGATGCAGTGATCGCTAGATTGGTGCTAGTACATGCTCGAAGACTTTGAGATAGCTACTATGATGCCCGCAGACCTTGATTCTTCTTCCTTTTATTTTCTTCAGTACTGTTCTACTATTCAGATAGTTGTACTAGAGTTTGTTTTATGTTGAGATTTACAGTGCTCATGTACTCGTACTGGGATGGTTGTAGTACACTTCAATTACTTTTATCAGATATTTATGAGATTCTTCCGTTGTTGAGTTTATTAAACATGTTTTATTCAAATATTTAGTTGTTATGTGATTGTCGGCTTGCCTAGTAAGTATGTTAGGCGCCATCACGAGGGGTCAGAATTTTTAGGTGGTGACATAAATGAACGCATATCCAGTAATCTAGTCTAACCCCGAAGAAGTAGTAACGAGGGTGCTACAGATTGTGGAATGCAGAGCAGCTCACCACTAAGTCTCCGGGTGTGTATGCGCGCTCGAATGACTGCCTGAAGTACATGCCTCAGTACCTGCACAATTAGTGCAGAAGTGCAGTATGAGTACGTAAATTAATGCATACCTAGTAAGTATCTAGTCTAACTCCGAAGAAGTAGTAACGAGGGGTCGACATCAACACATACTAGTGGTCCAATAATTAAAATACATGAAAATAGATAAGCATGAAACACAACAATTAGCAATGAAATAAGTAACTGTAACTAACATGATCCTTCGACATAATAATAATATGAAGGCCTAGAATGCCATATGCTATCTCAAACAGACAAGGAACATCAAGTAAATGTCAAATCTCAAGTCAAGAAGGAAAACTCATGTATATTCTGACACCTATCGATATTATGCACGAATTCTAACAAGGTTGTACGGTACAATCCATAATAATAGTGTACATTGCTGAGGTCGTACGGCCTGATCCATAGATGCATCTCAAATATACTACTGAGGCCATATGGCTCGATCTATAATGCTATTTCATAGCACTGCGGAGGTGTATGGCCCGATCCACATGAATAGAGAAACTTTTCGAACTATCGGTCACATAAACATAACACGAGGATAGGAATGTGAAGAAACCATAATCTTATCGAAAATCAAGTATCCCACCAAAACTCAAGGTAAAGAGGCTCGATCAAACATAAATTCTAATCCGATCACAAATATAAATTTAAGTAATTAAACTAACACGTTTAGTTCAAGTAGCACAAATAAGGCATGGTAATGATCTAAGTCTATCCAAACATAAATATGATTCTAGCTATGCACGGACTCTCGTCACCTCGCACGTACGTAGCACCCATAACAAGTAGCACACAACAATTAGAATACCTACGGGGATAATTCACTCTTACAAGATTAGCAAAAGTCACCTTGCTTCCAAGCCCTCTACTCCGCTCTCAAACCTCACTAGTCGCCTCTAAACAACGCCGAGCAACCTGAAACTAATCAAAAGACGCATAAATCAATCAATATATCCTCAAAAATTCATAATTTAACTATCAGAGTAATTTTCCAACCCAACTCGGAAAGTCAACA